TTTTTTTTCTCTTTTCAGTTTATTGCATGAAAGTGTTACACACTAGTCCAAGTTAAAAGTGGACCCCGAATGGTTACCTTATACAAGCTGTGACATTTTAAACTTGTGACAAGGGACAGAAGGGAAGGTTACTCATTGCAAGGAAATCCTCACTTAAGCTTCAGTGAGCCCCAAGCACTTAAACCCATGAACTTCAACTGGTCGTCCTCAGCCAGTCCAGTCTCTACAAGGAACTGGCATATGTTCTTGCGCTGGTCACCCTGTAGCTGAATTACTTCTCTATATTCTGGATGCTCAAGTACAGGACCATTGCAGGCAAACTTCTTCTTAAACGCCTTCACTAGTTTCTTTTTATCATAATCATCAGCGATCCCTTGAACAGTTGTAAGGGTCTTCCTGTCGTTTCTCTGTTGAATTCTTATATGGATATAATCCTCAGTCCCAGCAGGAAGCAGGTCATCACCCTGACTTGCATCAGCAAAGGGGTCGAAGGGTGGAGGTTCTGGATAGCGGACATACGATACGATTCCTTCTCCTCGATGGAAACGGCCTGTGGAAGGCGGTGGCGGGAGAAGGTGGGCAGGGGGAATGGAGCGTCTGGAAGCTGAGGTCGCTCAAGGGGGATGCAGCTGAGTCCTCGCTGGCGGCTCAGTGACCGGGGCCGCCTTTTTTTGAGGTGGAGTATGATATTGGTAATTAAACCTCTTAAAATGATGGCAAACCTGAACCATGAAAATGTGAAGCATGTGTGTTCTCCCTGATCCAAGCATGGTCTTTTGAATTACTTATATGCATCTGAAAGTCAGACAGTGAATAAGGACGATGAAAGAAGAATCGATGCTTTTGAGTTGTACTGTTGAAGGAGAGTACTGAATATCCGTGGATTGCCAAAAGAACGAACATGTCTTGGAGAAAGTACAAGGGTGCTTCTTAGATGCTTGATGAAACTCCATCTCCCATACTTAGGACGTGCTGTTAGGAGAGGCTAGGAAATGTGTCAGCAAAAGAGAGGAAGACCGTCCAAGAGATAGATTCTCACAGTGACCATAACCATGGGCTCAAGTACGTCAGAGACAGGAAGGAAGGGGAGGACTCCGATCTGTTGTTCTCAGGGTCACTGTGAGTCATAGTTGACTCAGGGCTCCCTAACACCTACAACAACATCTGTTCCCCTTACTTTAACCCTAGTGGCTAAGTCATTTTTTTTTAAAAAAAGATAAGTGTTTGAATGTGCTTGCTTTGAGAATGCAAGCTAATGTTAAGTGTAAATCTTTGATGTGTCGTTAGGTGCCGTTGAGTCAGCTCAAACACATAGCAACCCCCTGTACAGCAGATGGAAGCCCTCACTGTCTCTGTAGTGTTTAAGTCCATCGGGGCAGTCACAGCGTCAGTCCATCTCATTCCGCATCTTCTTTTTTATTTATCCTCTCATTTTCCAATCATGATGTCTTTCTTTTAGGACTGGCCTTTCCTAAAAGCTTGCCCAAAGTATGTGAGATGAAGTCCCACCATCCTTGCTTGTAAGGAACATTCTTATTACTGGGGGGACATAAAGAACAACTGGGCTTGACCTGGCTCAGCAGATACCTTACTAAGGTATTAACAAGACCGCTTACTAGGGAGAGTGAAGTGGGAAAGAAGTAATGAAGAATAAGTACAACCTAGTGATGTTAGAAACACAGCAAATTTGTTTAAGCATAGGTTGTTGTTGCTATGTGCCAGTGAGTCACCTGCAAATCCTAGCGACCCTATGTACAACAGCCCTAAACCCTGCTCTGTCCTTTGCCAGTCTCACTGTCTCCAACACACCTACCTCCATTACTCCAGTCACTGAATCAATCTACCTCATAGAGGGTCTTCCTCTCCTGTATTGTCCCTCTACCCTCCCAAGCATGACGTCCCTCTCCAAGGACCGGTCCCTCCTTACAACATGTCCAAAGTATGTCAGACGAAGCCTCAGAATCCTTGCCTCCAAGGAGCAGCCTGTTTTAACCCTCTTCAGGATGAATCTGTTTGTGTTCCTAGAAGTCCATGGTACATTCAGTACTCTTCTCCAGCATCACAGCTCAAAGGCATCAATTCTTCTTCTATCCTCCCTAGTGATTGTCCAACTCTTTGATGCACAGCAAGTGATTACAAAGACCCTGGCCTATATCAGGCCCACCTTAATCTCCAGAGTGACAGCATTGCTTTTCAGTACTTTGGAGAGGTCCCTAACAGCAGATTTTCCCATCACAGTATGTCTTTTAATTTCCTGGCTTCTGGTGCCAAGAGTGTTGACTGTGGAGCCAAGCAAACTAAAGCTGTGGACAATCTCAATCTCTTCACCATCCATCCTGATAATGCTAATTGGCCCAGTGGTGAGAATCTTTGTCTTCTTGACATTGAGCCTCAATCCATATTGGAGGCTGCAGTCCTTGACCCTCTGCAGCAAGCATTTCAGGTCCTCAGTTTCAGCAAGCAGGGTTGTGTCATCTGTATAAAGCACTCTCCTTAAACTCTATGTATTTTGATAAATGTTGATAGTTGTAGAGAGGCTTCAGGCCTTTTGTTTATAGGGTCACTATGAGTTGTGTTCAACTCGAAGACAATCAACAACAACAACACTCTCCTTCCATGTGGACTGTACTTCAACATCAAGAAAACAAAAATCTTCACCACTGCACCAATAGGCAACACATGATAAATGGAGAAAAGATTGGAGTTGTCAATAATTTCATCTTACTCGGATCCAAAATTAACACTGTTGGAGCAGTCAAGAAATGACAAAAGATGTGTTCCGTTGGGAAAATCTGTTTTCAAGGACCTCTCCAAAGTGCTAAAGAGTAAGGATGTCAGTTTAAAGACTAAGGTGCACATGATTCATACCATGGTCCTTTCTGTTACTTGCTGTGTATCTGAAAGATGAACAATGAATAACAAGAAGAACTGATGGCTTTGAATTGTCTTGGGAAAAGTACTGAATATCCCATGAACTGCTACAAGAACAAACAAGTGTGTCTTGTAGAAAGTACAACCAGTGTGCTCCTTCGAGGTAAGAATGGGGAAGTTTCACCTCACACATTTTGGGCATGTTGTTAGTGAACCGGTCCCTGGAAGAAGGCATCATGCTTAGAAAGATGGAGAGTCGGCAAAGGAGAGGAAGACCCTCAACAAGATAGATGGATGCAGTGAGTGTAATGATGGGTTCACACATATCAGAAAAGGTGAGGACGGCACCAGAAAGGGCAAGGTTCAGATCTGTTGTCTGTAGGCCCATTGAGTTGACTTGATGGCACCTAGCGACAAAAGCAACAACTCTTAAAGAAAAAAGAGTGAGTGGGTCCTTGGGAGTGAGGAGAACCCTCTTTTTGGTTTAAATTTTATTTTATTAATTTTAATAACGTTCACAAAGATTTTGGATTTCCATTCATTCATTGTTTCATTTTTCTCCCTGCCCACCCCTCCCCCTTAGTTTGCGCTTCTCTTTGAAAAGTAAAAGTAAAATTCCTTCATTGGTATACAATCCCCTCACACCCCCTCAAGTCCACTGCACTGTGCAGCCTTCATTCCGGACTCTTGTCATGACCATAATACCCAATCATATATCACTTTCAAACAGTTCTCTCCCACATCTGTTTCAATGCAGTATACATTCTTGAACCCATCTTTCTCAGTCTCGCCCCAACCCCGATGTCAGTCCCGTTCTACAACAGCAGCACCACGCAGTATTAGTGCTTTTGTGACTGAGCACAGAGCACAAGTTCTTGGACACCTTAGACAGAGCCAGGGGACCCAGTGAGGGCGGTGTTCTGACCTCTCCCAATCATAGCTTGAGACACATAAGTGACGATTCTGCTTCTGGTCCTTGGTGTCTCTACTCTCCAGAACTCAGTCTTTTTGAGGCCTGTGGTGAGAATCTTTGTCTTCTTGATGTTGAGATGTAATCCGTCCTGAAGGATGTTGGCCTTGATCTTCTGTAGTAAGCATTCCCATATCCCTCTAATTTTCAGCGAGCAAACCGAAGTTGTATCATTAGCTTAATGCAGGTTGTTGATAAGTCTTCCTCCAATCCTCATGTCACACTCGTCTTCATAGAGTCTGGCGTCATGAATTATTTGTTCAGCATACAGAGAGGGGTACTCTAGGTTGATCAGAAGTTCCAGTCTGGGGTGTGGAGGTGGAGTTAGTCTGATGAATCAGGAGGTCCAGTCAGGGATATGACTGGTTGATCAGAAGCTCCAGTCAGCAGTGCACGTAGTGATTGGTCAAGGATAGTCAAGGACACAGTCCATCTACTGTAGTCTGATTTGACCCTCATCTAGGTTGCCTCATACTCTGGCAGCAATTCTTCCACGACATTTGTTCATTCTTGCAGCCCACAGTGTTTTTTTCACTAACGCCACAATTCACAGGCATTTGTTCATGTCTTCCTTACTCATTTGCACACGTATTAGATATTTGTTGCCTAAGAATCACGAACTTTTGCCCATATTAGACTATTTTGAGTGGATTCTGAACACACTGTATTTATGTTTTGTGGGATTTACTGCCACACAAGCGTACATGCCATTTCAGCTTTCCTGACCTCCCTCTTGGTTTGTTCAAGTTTATCCTATTTTTCCTTTGACCATATGAACTGATGACTGACATGGGTCAAAACAGTTAGACTCATTCCTTTTACTTGAAAATTATAAAGCATAATCTGAAAAGCACAACACCAGCAATCAGTAAGGACTGTGCCTTGTCTTTTAATCCAGCAAAATGTATTTTAAAGAAGGTATTTTAATGATAAACTTTATTAGGCCTTCATGCATAAAAGCATAATTAGACATATTCCACCAATTAAGACTGAGAATGATGTGGAAGATTGGCATATTGGTCATTGTGACAAAAGTAAAAAAAAAAAAAGAAATTCTATTGTAAATGGCAATAACTACTGTACAGACTGTTAAGAGTTAAGGAATAATGCTAATTCTGGGAAAGTGCAATAACGTATTGCTTTGTCTTATAAATTGTAGCTGACTTTGGCCTGGCGAAGCAGAAACAAGAAAACAGTAAACTCACGTCTGTTGTGGGGACGATCCTGTACTCCTGGTAAGGAGATAGTTTTATGATTTTCACACATCTTATTTAATTGCTTTGGTGACTTTGGTTGGTTTATAACAGAAGTAGTAGAGAAGGAAGGCTATTATGTAAGCGTTCTACAATTAGGGAGACAATATGCATACACAGAATGGTGGAATATTGTGAGTGTTTTTTAAAAAAAATCTTTATGGAGATTTAAAAAAGAATTTAAGAATGATCCTTGGCACCCATTAGCTGTGTAATAGTTACTGAACAGATATGAATTAAATGGCAAGTGTACTGACTACCCAACGGGACTCTTGGAACATTTTATTGAACCAACTTATATATGTTACTCATTCTTCTCTTTCCACCTCTGAACATTCAAGGTCAAGGAAAGGCTTTTGTGCATTCTCTTTGTATTCTACCACCTGGCAAATAGTAGAGACTGAACAGAGGTTAGATGAGTGAATAGATGAATGATGACGTACGTACTGAGAATGGGTCTAGGAAACAGGTTGATTACAAAGTCAGTGTCATCATTTTTAATTGAGATTTTTGTATTTTATATGGGTTTGCATACAAAATTCGTATACATTGTGTCTCATTCGTGTACATTGTGTTTCACAGTCTTTTATTTACTTTGTGTTTCATACAATAATTCTTCTATACTGTGTTTTATAAAATTAATTACAAAGGATCTATGTCTAGGATGGAGCTCTGGTGGCCGAGTGGTGAGAAGCTGTGCTGTAGTAATGAAAGTTTGAAGGTTCGAGTCCACCAGCTGCTTCACGGGAGAAGGATGAGCAATCCCCTCCTGTGTAATTAACTGCCACTGAAAACCCATTGGAGGATCAGCTATGGGTCGGTTCTGACTGCAGCAACAACAATGCCTATTTTTACCTCCTCTTTTCAGGTCCTCATGGGGTCTTTCTCATTCTTTCACCCCCTCATCTGCCCACTAAACTCTGCTATCCTAACAATTTTCCTCTTTCCCCATTTCCTCTTCTTTTGGACATTTATACACATTATTAGTTATCCTTCTATTTTTACAGTAACGGTATTACGTGGTACTTGTCTTATGAGACTGAGTACTCAGCATAATGCTCTCTAGCCGTTCCTTAGTGCTGCATAGTATTCCACTCTGCGAATGCACCACAACTTTCAATCCATTCATTTGTTGGTGGTCATTTGGACTGTTTCCATTTCCTTGCAATTGCTAGTAACACTTCTATAACATAGGAGTACATGTATCTGTTCACGTCTCAATTCTGTTTTCCCTGTGGTATATTCCTAGAAATGGAGTAGCTGGGTTTGGGCATGTAGCCAAAAGCACCAGTTCTTGGAGAAGGACCTCATGCTTGGAAGGGTGGAGGGACAGCACAGGAGAGGAGACCCAGGCTGAGAAGGATTGATACAGTAACTGGAGAAATGGGTTAGATGTGTCAGAATCAATGAGATTGGCTCAGGATGCTGGTTTTCAGGGCTATTGTACGTAGGATCACTATGAGTCACAGGTGACTCGATGGCACATAACAACAACAATAATGGGATTTCTATATTTAGCCTTTTGAGGAAACATCAACCTGTCTTCCCGAGTGGTTGTGTCATTTTACAATCCCACCAGCAGTGCATGAGAGATCCAGTCTTTTCACATTGTGTTCAACACTTATTGCTTGCTGTCCTGTTAAATTTTGCTACGGCTACTGGGGTGAAAAGGTATCTCTTTGTTGTTTTGATTTGCAGCTCTCTGATTGCCAGTGATTTTGAGTATTTCTTTATGTTTCTGTTGGCCATCTGAGTGTCTTTTTTTGTAAAAGGTCTTTTGCCCATTTTATGATGGGGTTATCAGCCTTTTGCTTGTGGAAGCCCTGTAATATTCTGTAAACTTTTGTTATGAGACCCTTATCTGAAATGATATTGCCAAATTATTTTTCCCAATCTGTAGTTTTTCTTTCACCCTGTTGGAAGAAGGTTTTGATGCACATAGGGACTGAATCATTAGAAGGTCTCATTTGTCAATTTTGTCCTCTCCTGGTTATGTATCTGGCTATTTTTGCAAGCAATTTTTACCATTGACCAGGACTTCTAAGTTTTGTCCCATTTTGTATCTTATGATCTTTATGGTTTTGGGCTTTCCCCTAGATCTCTAATTTAACTTGAATTGATTTTTGTGTATAGTGTAAGATGTGGTTCCCGTTTCACTTTTCTGCAGGTAGTGATCCAGCATCATTTGTTAAGAGGTTTCCCCCCCTACTTGATAGGTTTTATTGTCAACTACCAGCTGACCTTAGGTGTTGCTGTTGTTGTTATGTGCCATCGAGTCACGCACCACTCATAGTGACCCTATGTACAATAATTCTGAATCCTGCCCCATCCTGCGCCAATCTCATTGTGCCAAATACACCTACCAGCACTACCCCAGTCATAGAGTCAGTTTGTCTCATCCAGGGTCTTGCGCTGTCCCTCCACCCTTCCAAGCATGATGACCCTCCCTCCAACATGCTCAAAGTATGTCAGAAAGAGCTTCACAATCTTTGCCTCCAAGGAACAGCCTAGTTTCACCCTCTCCAGGACAGACCTGTTTGTTCTTTTAGCAGTCATACCATGGTATGTTCAATACTGGTAAGTGTTCCAAATTCTTACTGTACTTACAGTTGCTTGACCCCCCCCCTTATGATCCTTTTATTAGAAAGATCTGGTCTCCATAAAGGAATGCTAGTGGCACAGTGTTTAAGTGTTTGAATGCTCCCTGAAAGGTCATAGTTCATGTCGACTAGCTACTCCATAGGAGAAAGACATGAGTCTACTTCCATAAAGACTGTTGTTGTTGTTTTGGTGTGTGCCACTGAGTAGGAACCAATTTGTAGGTGACCCATCAGTGGGTTTTCAGAGGGAGTAATTCACATGGGTTGGAAGCAGGAGTGGCATCCACTTCCTAAACAACGTGCTTCTTGAACCTCTATGATCTTTGATAAATGATGATAGTTATAGAAAGGCTTCAGTTCTTTTATGCATAAGGTCACTATGAGCTGTGCTCGACTCAATGGCAATCAACAACAACACATCAAAATCACATGGGAGGAGGTCGCCCCTCCTTCTTCTGTGAATCAGCTGGTGGATTTGAACTGTGTGCCTTTGGGATTGCAGCAACAATGAATAAAGATGACAGACGAACAATTGATGTCTTTGAGCTGCCTGAGATGTTGGAGAAGAGCACTGAACATCCCATGAACTGCCCAAAGAACAAAGAAAAATATGCCTTGGAGAAAGGGCTCCTTGGAAGCAAAGATGATAAGATTGTGTCTCACATACTTTGGACATGTTGCTAAGAGAGGCTATTCCTTGGAGAGGGACATCATTCTTGGAAAGGTAGAGGGGTAGCAAAATGGCTTAGTCTCTTTTAGTTACTTTGCTTTCCCACATAATTTCTAGAATCAACTTGCTTATATATATTAAAAAATGCCAGGAATTTTTATTTTAATTTGACTAAATCAATAGAACATCTAAACATAGTAAGACTTCCAATCCATAAACATGGTATGCTCATCCATTTATTTAGGTCTTTGATTAATTAAATCAAATTTTATAGCTTTCACCATATAAATCCATGTAAGGTTTGTGAGATTTATATGTATTAAACTTCTGTTGGAGATTTTATAATTGGTATTGTTTTAAATTTAGATTCCCAAGTGTACCGTACTCTTTCTTTTTTAAAAATGATTTTATGTTGGTTGGTAATTGTCCCTTACTCTTACAGCTCATTCATTGCCAGGGAGTTGAAACTGACTGAAGATTGACCTTCCAATTAGCTGCTGAGACTTTAGATTGCATGGGATGAGACTGTCCATCTTTTTCCAGCAAACCTGCTGTTGGATTCAAAACCCTAGACAGACGTGGCCCTGGGGTGGCAACTCAACTTCATGCAGACTACAGTCTCCAGAGCATCCAGTAGTATATAAACATGCTCTTGACGATATTCTATTTTTTCATCCTTCAATCTTGACTAGATAGCTTTAGACTTTTATTTATAATTTTTTTTTAAATTTCAATAGAATCTAGATTTTTATTTCATGGTTTGTTTGGGATTTTCTTTGTTGACAATCATGCCAACCTACACTTAAGAAAAGTTTATTTCTTCTTTTAAGAAATGGCACGCTGAACACAGGAGCACTGGTTTTGTAAATTACTACCTAACTTGGGAGGGACTGCAGAACATTATGCTAAGTGAACTAACTCAGTCCCATAAGGACAAATACTGTATAAGATCATTATTGTAGATACTGTAGAACGTGTATGAAGATCCAAGGTGGGGGGGGGGCTTGAGAGCAGAGGAGTGAGTATGGGTGAAGGGTGAAGGTGGCGTTAATCATAGGGCCTCACAATTTGAGGGGTGGAGGGAACGGTGGGTAAAGGAAATTGTAAAGATTCAGTGTGAAAAATGATGTAAATACACCAGTATCAAAGAAACATTTTCTTTTTTAAAAAACAGCCAAGCTGAGTGTTACCCAAAGCTGGACACATCCTTAACTCACCTGACAAGTTCTAGTAGTTCTTGAAGGTTCTTCAGGTTCAAGCCTGGGAATCTCTGGAATCTCCCATAATTACACAAATTGGAGAACCAGCGATGCTGTTCGCTGCTTCCTCGTTTGCTTCCCTGATGGTCACCCAGGGTGGTTTCCTACTGGTAGTCTCAAATGTCTGCTCAGGACAGCCTTAAAGAAAGAACCAGTAGATAAAGGAAAAGCCACTCAAGGATCAGAAATGAGCAGCTATTTAGGGGAGGAAGTTACTGTCTTGCCTTTCTTTCCCTCTAAGATGAGGTATCATTTATCATTTTCTGTTGAAAAATTGCTTTGTACCCTGGTATATAGTGTTGAATTAATCAAACTTCTCAGACCATAGCACATCATCATTAGCTCCTGGGAGACCCACTTCTTGTTAATTTTTCCCTTTTTCTTTTTAGAACTCAATAGGTTCTTAAATATACGTGCTCCCCACTCACTCACTCACTGCCATGACTTACAGCA